TCATGGGTCCGGGTCCGGTCCGGTCGACGGACCGGACCGGACCCGGACCGGACCCGGATCTTTTGCGGAACACTAGTGATACTGGGGTAGTCCTTTGAACCGGGTCAAAATAGAATTGGCCTACAACAATTAAAACTTTAACCATTCATTGTTTAATAAATTTTAATATCTTTCTTATATTTTAAAGACATCGAAGACTAAACATTAGTTAAAGCATAAAAAAGCCGTATTTTTATACCATTTATTTCGATATATTTTACTACTATTTCTACTCTTCTTTTGTCACCAATACTCACGTTATTGTTTTGGTTTATTCGAAGATTATCATTTTAAACTTTGCTTTTTATATTAACCACTTATTCTCATTTTTAATAAACAAGTGGCAAAAATAGTAATAAATAAAAAAGAGAAATAATAAAAATAATGGAAAAATAATATAAAATAATAAAGTGAAATCTATCCAATTATCATATTTCTTAGCTATAATTGTTCTAATCCCCTCACAGTTTTTATAAACTCGTGACATCACCAAACAAATTGAAAAAGTTTAAATGCTTTTTAAGATTTTTACATGTTACGATGATTTTTAATTGCAAAATGATGTATGTGTTCTGTTCTACGACTGACACATTTTCATTTAATAATAAACATAAATAGAAAAATAACGCGTAACACATCCACTTTCCTGCTTAGTGCGGCGGTATAATCCGTTGGATTGGATAATGAACAAGAGTGTAACCATATTCAAAAGCTTTTCTTATTGGTTCGCAAGTGACACAGGGCCTTCATCTTCTTCCTCTGAGTCGTCATCTGGGTCTTCAGAAGATACAAGTATACCAACTGCATATACTAAAGGTATCGAATAATCATCGTGACTGTATCGGAACGTAGATCCGCCACTATCATCACTAACCTCGTGTATGGATGTTAGAAAGACACCTACTTTAGGGCCTGTTTCGCTTAGAACGGTTGTATCAAGTGCTTTCACATGACCACAAATAACACCAGTTACAAACCCCGACTTACATACATGAATGTTAGTACTAGCTATTTCTGTGCTTCCTATAATAAGATACTCTATATTTCTCGGATTTGCCACATCTGTAAGGGGAATCCGTAGATTTAGTCTTACCCTGAGATGTGGGTTTGATTTCCTGATAAAACCAATATTATTTTGGTGTGAGCGTATAATTCTCCATTTGTCCAATTAAAACAATTGAATTTCTATAATAAAACAATTTTGGTGTCGGGTCATCATAGGGTAGGCGCAATGTCCTGCGGTTAATAGAAAATATTGATGAAATCGATCTTTCATCCAAAAACCTGCACTACATCTTAAAGGCCGAGGCCCAAACCAAGTGACAATTTCATTTCCACCTAATATAATTGGATCGATTTGTCTCTTTTCCACTAAAGTTGATGAATTGAATGAATTTAATACCTTTTTTCCTTTTTTCTTTTTGATAAATAAACTATTTTCGGTTTGAAAAATTTAGCACTTTTAATAAACTCTTTGTTCTTTGGATCATTCTTATCTTTTAAATATATAACAACATTATTGACTTTGGGTTCGATACTAATTATGCCATTAATTATATTAAATTTTTGTGCTAATTTAATTATTTGGACGAATGTGGATTTTAATTGAGACAAGGAATTGGTTGCTTTTTTAAATTTTAAATATTTTTTATATTTTTTCATTTGTGAAGAGTTTCTCACTTTTTCGACCTTAGATTGGTCTACCGTATTGATATTTATTTTATTCGCTTTTACATCTACATATGTTCCTTCAAAATATAAATTATTTAATAACGGTTGTAATTTACCGTCTATCCTAATTAATTTTGCCTCTCTGTCTAATAACTCCGGTACTTTTTTATTTTCTACTCCCCAAAGTTTTGCCAAAGGTTCGAATTGTGCATTAACCATTGGACCATTTTGTATTATAAAAGCGAATAAAATTAATAATATTTTTAGATAAAAATAATTATTTCTCATGTTTGGATATTATATTATTAGATTTTAATAAAAATACGTCAAAGGTTTCTTGATGGATTATAAATATGCATGATAACAAAAGGAAATTTATAAAACAATATTAGGTGTTTTAAGGCCCAGTCATTATCTTTATTATATATTTGTAAATCTTTTCGAAATTTAAAGAATCATTTATGATAATAATTCATAAAAATCCTATTTAAAATTTGTCAATCATTTTGATCTGATTATATTCATCTGATTGACGACATATAAGGCGGGGACTTTTTGGTATAGAGTCCAAAAAAATATGATTTTGAGATAATCATGCTTATTAGATATGGGCGTATTCTTGCTTAAGGGAAAATCTCCATCTAGAGATTATAGTTTATCATTCGGCGAACTTAGCCCTTGAAAAATCATCAGTGTTCATCAGTGGCACTCATATAAAATTGTATTATAGCTGTTTCCATAAATTTTGCATTTGGGAATTGATAAGTTTTTGACATCAACCAACGTCAGTAAATAATTTGAAAATTTTCAGCTGTTTCAGAAGTTATGAAAGCAGCCGAATCGCCGACTATATGGAGTCTTTGCTGATGGTAATCAAAATTAAGTTTTTGCAAGGATTTACGTACTTATTTCTGCAAGTGATACAAATCGCATGGCAATAGTACGTAAATATTTATTTGTTGCTATTTTCGCTAAAAGCACGTGAAAATTAACCAGTGTAGGACTGGGGTTTGTATCACTTGCGGAAGTAAGTGTACGCGGTAATAATAAGTAAGTTTGCGATCATTCTATTTTTAGCAGCAATGTTTCGTTCAATCTCGGTTTTGAATACTGTTATAATTATCAAGTAATAGAATATAATTATACTTAATATTAAATAAGGGATAATTAATAATAATATCTTATTTCCGTTATTACTCACTGCCTGGGATCAACCCACCGATTACACAGTGGCCCAAGATATTACTAACTAGATAGCTGCGCGACGTTATCGCGTAAAATCAGTAACGGAAAACCTAAAAAAGAAAACAATTGATTATCAACTTGCCGTTGATAAAGTGTAATAATTTGCGTCTAACCGATCACTTTATGATTACTTTTTAATCAATCCAATCAATCAATGTGGCATTTATTTACGCTGATTTTATTATCGATATGCGATATATCCGTCAAGTAATTATCTAAGTCACAATACTGGAAATGATGAAAAATAATGATTTATGAGGTTTTTTTTCATTGAAGTTAATGTCACTCCCATGTGCAGCTACGAGTGACATTAACTATGATAAAAGAATTTTTTTTTGTCATAAAATTAATGTTTCCACCTCTACAGTAAATAGCATAAATAAATTATTTTGGTTGATCTCCAAGGACTAGAGATGGGCATTCGGCATTATGTGCATTACATTATGCAAAACATAATGTCGTATAATGTAATGTAGACATTTATAATTTAAAAGTGCACATAGACATTACTATATAATTTTAATGCAATAAAATTTATTAGTTTACACATAGTATTTATACATGGCATAATTTATTGAATTACATATAGGGCTGTTAATCGGTCCGACTAAAGCCACCGGTCCTGCGGTCCGTCTTAGGGCCAGGCCAGTCTGGTCTTTTTTAGGACGGTGTTACGACCGGTAGGAGAGCTTCGAAGATATTGGGTCAGTTTAGCTCCGATCGTGAACAAGAGGTTAGGTCGATTGTATATTTAAATCACGTGAATCAGAATTACGAAGTGATCTTTTATTACGATTCAACGGTCCTT